CGATAATTAAAATATTACTCCTTCGTGAATAAATACAAATTAGTTTAAGACATCAAATTAATAAAAGTGTATAACAAGGAGGGACAAATGAACTAAGACACGACCAATAACTAAGTGAAGATATAAATTCGCAATACTATGTCTCATTATTAGAGTTATGCTCAATCTTCATATTTCTATCGATGAATAGAACTTTTATCATTAATTTGTTAAAGAATTTTGAAGGTCAACGATATTAATTAGGAAATTCGACACGTAATTTGCGTTAGAACTGTTAGGCGAGCCCCGAGCGTTGGGCGTTAGGCGTGTTTAGGGCGCACGGTCGGGCGCTTGGGGCGTAAGCCTCACAGAACTAAGCCCCATACATGAGCCCTGGGGCGTTTTGCAAGTGCCCCGCCTAGGGGCAAGTCCCAGAAATGCCTTTTAAAACACTGCTTGCAAGTGAGTTTTGCTCTAGGACTACGTTGGTTTTAAGGCTTTACTTCCTCTCTCAAATTGATGTTTACTTAGTATTGTCCTTTTAACCAGTGTCGGCATATCGTATACACACATTTTGTTTTTTTTGAAAAAAATATTCACATGCACATACATAAGATTTTTTTTTTTATGAACCGGTGTTAGATGAGACCCCTTTTTAGAAGGTGTCTCCACCACTGAGAATGATGACACGCTAATACATCAATTCCTCTGAAAATAAGAAGTCAAAAGTGCTGTGAGAGAACCTATTTTGCGTAGAAACACAGGTAAACAACAATGAATAATCACCCGGGGGTAGGGGAGTTACAGAAAGAATCTAAGCAGACAGACTATGTATATAATGTTCATTAAAGCAGGAGTAGACATAACTATCCATAACTTACCTCATCAAGTTTCTTCTGCAAATTATCAAGTAGCTTTTTCATTTTCTGGGCATTTTCGGTGAAGGCAGCCTTTCTTCTTTCCTTCAATGAATTGACGAGCAAAGGTCTCAAATGTCTTGCTAAAGGCAAAAGAATCATCTCTGGATCATCCAGTCCTGCAGAACAATGAAAGTTAAAGAGGAAAAACAGTTATGAATAGATCACTAGACAGCTAAAATACTCTGAGAAAAGAGTAATCATACTCCAAGTACCTTGTTCTTCAAAGTCAGGATTGAGAGATGTAATCTTCTGAATTACCCATTCTTCTGAAATAGCGCCAAGGCTATCCTCATCCTTTCTAGCACCTGACTTTGAGTCTGCTGCTTGTGATCCAGATGACACCTTACCTTTCTTCTGACCTTTCTTAGATTTACTAGGGACAGATTCCTGGTTATCTGCCCCTGTTTCAGCTTGCGCCATCTTAGAATTGCCAGATGATTTTCCTTTTTTCTTCTTAGATCCTTTCTCCGAGGCCTGTTTGCTCATACCGGCATCACTGCTTGTTTCATTTACTTCACTGGAGTCATATCCAACTTTAGCATCTTTAGCAACACGAAACTCATCTACAGGCCCAGCACCGGCAAGCCCAGGAATGCTTAATGTTTCCATCTCCTTTTCTATCCGATCAAACAGATCCTATTAAGCAATTTTACAAAAAAGACAAGATTAAGGTAACAGAATTTCCACAGAAGGTTAGCAATATAACAAGTAAGATTTGTAAAATAAAAGTTGCCAGCAACTTTTAGAGAGTGCAGATTTTTACAAAAATCTTACCTTGACAAACCCATTGCTAAAAATATATGAATCTCCCAAGATAAGTGCTCTATTCGACTGAAAAGACAAAACCAAGATTGTGAGATCGCATGAGAAATAATTTATTCTCTATCAATCGTCAGTGCAAAATTCTCATGCACTACATATTTGGAATCGTGCTGCTTGATGGCAAAAATCCGAATGCTACATAAGTTTGAATTCTGACCAATCATGTTGCAAAAAAATAAACACGCCTACATAGATAATCACTTGCTGACGAAGTAGAAAAAGGATAAAATATAAGAAGCATGCGTATAGGAGGAACAATGAAGCATCACCTTTTGTGCTGCTTGAACCGATGGACATAGTGACAGAATTTTAAATGCATCTTGGCTACCTAAGGAAGCGGGTAAAACTGAAAGCGAATCAATCCTGCAACAATTTAACATCCCCAAAATGTCAAACCATGATCATCCTGCAATGCAGGGATTGTAGTGAAGTTCTTTTTATTTCCCTTCCTGAAATATTATTTTTAAATGGCCAAGACCATATTTTGAGTTAAGTTTTAGGGAGCAAAGTAATTCTCTCATGCAGGTATTCAGAATTCTCTTCGTGCACAAACTCTTTTAAATAGATCATACATAAGACACCACAGGCGAAGTGCAACCTTCTAGATGCCCTATACAAACAGCACGGGCACATCCATGCTTTCACACACTAATTTTTTTTTTTTTTGATAACTACTTTCATACACTAAATTTATTTGGGAAATATTGTTCTTAAAAGTATCAACAGATGTCATCTTTCTACTCCATACATGCAACTCTCAATTCAATGATAATATTTGTGATCATTGGACAAACGAACAGATGAAACATGAGAAGGTCATGTAACAGTAAGCACTTGCTCCTTTCCAAGTTCCAACTTAGATGTCCAAGTGTATATTGCTCTAAGATGTAGGAGGAAGTTCTATAGTTTTGAACATAAACACAATCAAAAGTTTAGATCTATTTTATATGTTTTTATGACCTAGAGCTTCTAGTTTGTAAGCTATGTCTGATTAGTTACAACACTTTTTGGTAATTTTACATTTTGAAGAGTTAAATAGTGAAAGATAAGCTTTTGCATTGGGGTTAAAATTAGCTAAGTTTCGGACACGGGTGCGGGTATCCGACACTGGTGCGGATCTAGAGGTTAGATCCTTCAAGATGTAAATTCTAAGATTCGGGGATATGAATCCTAGTACGGATACGGGTGCGGGGATCCGGCTAAAAATAATTCAACAAAATAAAAATATCTCTAAATTATGAGAAATTTTGTGGAATACTTACGTATAGCTTGTAAAGTGTGAATTTTTTTTATTCTCAAGTTGTATATAAGTAAATGATTGATTTCCTAGATAAGATATGCTTTTTTTTTCAAATTTACCCTAGTTTTGGTTCTGATTTCGGGAATCAATTTGTATCTCGTCTGGAATTTTCCGTTCGTTGTGGTCAAAGTATTCAAAATTGTTTGACCAGATCCGACACAGATCCCATACCCACACCCGTATTAGTGTCGTGTCGACACGGGTGCGGCACCTAAACTGCCGTGTCAGAGCAACATAGGAAATTAGTAGATTGCTTAAAAGAATGAGGATAACCATTGGTATATGAAGGATAACAGATCTTTTTCACCTATGAACTGCTATTTTATGGATGAGCTTCGACTGCTAAAAGGTTTTAAAGGAAAGGGAAATTTTCCAATCGCTCAACTCATAAATCCAAAAAGGAGAACTTGAGATTAACAAGAAGAAAGGAGGAGAAAGAATGGGAAGTAGATCAATGTCTATATAAAGGTCGTCAAGAATTAGAAAGAGATCTGAGTTTTTGCCTTTGGTACTATGTTAATATACAAGCACTTCCTTAGTGTTATCCCAGCGATAAAAGTTACCTTCCTTACCAAAATAATATTTGTTTGTTTAAAACATAAAGGTCAGCAAGGATCAATATTAGCTGAAATGCAGTTTACCAAGTTAAATAAAACACAGTAGGATGGAATGAGCTCAAATTCCATGCCCTCTTGGAAATGCTAATCAGATTTAATTTGATACAGGAAATTACTTTGATTTCTCCCAGGAAGTGACTTCATCCATATACTCGTAGACTATTTCCTTCCTAGAGAAAGGCATTTCTCATTGTATTCTGCTGCGGTTTTCATTAATTTATTAAATCTTTCTACAGGATATGAAAACGAATAACATAAACAACTATTACCGATTAAGTTCATCGCACATTTTCTAAATGGATTAATGGAATAAGTAGAAATAACTCCTCCCACTTTGGGACCCTTACCAGCTATTACGTTCTATGGCATCCTCAACAGCGGCATCCAACATCTCAATCATTGAAGGGTGAGCATATGCAGTATCCAGAGATATACCATCTGGATATCTGGACTAAAGTGGCATTCATGACCAAAACTTAATTAGAAAAATCCAAGATAATGTATGCAAGCTAGGCTAAAACAAAGCAAAATACCTGCAGGAATTGAGAAGGTTGCGGAATCCCAAGTTTTTGCATAGCATCATAAGTAATAAAAGAATTCTGCATTACCAAAATCAAAGTGATATATAATCAATTAAGAGGATCAGCAAAAATATCTAGTAAGACTTGAATTTAACTTTCCACACTTTTTTCCTTTTAAGTCCAGAGACTTGTACGAGTATAACAGTGCCTTGAGTAAGTATGAAGTTGCTGAAATGTTGAGTAATTTCTGCTTTTCCTATAATCCCATTTGTACCCAATAGACCATTTTTTTGGTTCTGTCATATGAAACGTCTTTTGTTTGTGTACGACTTGGTCTACAAAAGTTTTATCAGGTCATATGTTTCTGTGAGGACAAAAACCTTTTCGTCTAATCATTGGCATCCAATGCTTGTTTTTTCTCAAAATAATCTTCTTTCTCAGAGAAATCATTTAAGAATTCTCTTTTGTTTGTGTACGATTTGGTCTACAAAAGTTTTATCAGGTCATATGTTTCTGTGAGGATAGACTTAAATGGGGGAATCATGGTGGAGGCATCTACACAGTCAAGGTGGGATATCAACAGATGTGTTCTAGTAATCCCATGATAGATAACTGGCCCTGGAAACTTATTTGGAGAACCAAGCTGCCACCAAAGGTTATCTGTTGCACCTGGACAACATTATATGAGGAGCATGCCTCACACAAGATAACCTGATGAAAAGGAACTTCCAGTTACCTAACAGATGCTACATGTGTCAAAAGAAAACTGAAAGTACCTGCCACTTGCTCCTACACTGTGAGGTGGCTTCAGACTTATGGTACATGTTTTTTTGCCTTTTTGGTCTCAAATGGGTCATCCCTTACACAGTCAAGGACGCTTATAAGAGCTGGAGTTTATGGAGAGTTGATGAAGCCATCACGAAAATCTGGTCAATGGCTGCTTGTATTTTCTGGTGCATTTGGACAGAGAGAAACAAGAGATGTTTTGATGGAAACTCAACTCCTATAGGTTCTTTAAAGGCTATGTGTACTACCAATTTGTTCTGTTGGTCTAGATTGTACCCTATCAACAATATTGATCATCTTTTGGATTTCATTAGTTCCTTAGCTCTGGTTTAGCCAATTATGTATAGGAGCCGGAATATTTTTTGTAAGCTCAAATGCCAAATCATGTACTTCTTGCATCTTTTAGATGCCATCTATTGAAATCACTTACTTTATCAAAAAAAAAATGTTTCTGTGAGGACAAAAACCTTTTCGTCTAATCATTGGCATCCAATGCTTGTTTTTTCTCAAAATAATCTTTCTAATGAAATATATATGCCTCTCAAGACTGCTGCATAGAGTCTCGGTAAGGGATAAGAGTATTTAGAAGAATGTTTTTTTTTTCTTTCAGGAGATTTCATCTAACTACAGAAGCAAATGAATACAGCCAGAAAACAGTAACCACTAAAAATAACTTCTCTCAAGGGATGGATATAGGAATCCATTGAAATCAAAATTCTTTCCAACTTCAAAGATAAAAAGGTGCAGCAGCAAGTATTATTGGACCACATTGCAAGATTTGCATATGGAAACAAGGAGCAAGAAATTCGGATCAAACATTAGTAGCAGGACAGTACAGATATCCACCTGCGAAAAGAAGGAATCGACACAGTCCTTTTGAGCCATGGCAAAAACCTGTAGAAATGGAGAAAGTAGAACAGAAAAAAAAGTCACTGCACACAAAAGAAAAGAGCAAAGACCTAGAATTGATATTGAACACATGATAAATAAGGTAACATACAGAAGGTGTCCAATGAACTCCTGCACGGAGAGAGCCGAGAATCTCGCCTTCTTTGACTAAGCCATTAAATAATGACTGGAAAAATGAAGCGTCTACAGCAACACCAACAGCTCCATCCATCTCTTGCAGTAAACTCTGCAAGGTGTTCCATAACGCTGACGTGTTCATTGGAACAAAAATACCCCTAGCTGCACCACGAACCATTGCATTTACACGAGCAACATAGGCTGGTGTATACAATTGCCCACCTTCAAGCCTACCTTTTACCTAACCATGCCATACAAACATATCAAAACTTCCATAACATAACTTCAACCCTGTACTACTACACCAAAGAGACAGAAATTTACCAAAGTCCCAAGACGAGGTTCAAGAATAGAGACTACTAATTCGGACCCAACTTGTAATTGCCCTGCTATTTCAGCGATGGCAATTTGGCTACATTCTTGAAGTCTTTCATTGATTTCTTCAGCTGCTGTATCCCAATAAGTATTCGAGATAATTTCACCATTAATTAACATGAGGGATGAGTCATGGGAAACTACATGCTGGGCTTGTTTCTCCACATGGTACAAGTCAACACCCGTTGAGTCAGCTAAATCGATCAAGGAAATACGTCCTAGTTTGTTGATCTCAGCCACAATTTCATTTCTCAATTGCTCCTGCAACAAACCCATATATAACTACAATTAAACAACACCGACGAAAAAAAATTATAACACTCAGATATAAACAGAATTAAACATCACCAGCATATGAAAAATCTTAAACCAATTTTTATTGTAAACTACAAAAATCAAATCTTTTTTCCATTTTTTTTTATAAATGTGGTTTTATGCCACCAATGGTGGCCCACCATGTCACTACTCAATTTCTCCTATAACACACCCACATAACTAAAATCACCAATAAAGAAAATTCATAAAACTCATCTACAAACATAACTAAACATCACCGCCCCAAAAAAAAATTGATTTTTTTAATCTAAGAACCATAAAAATCGATTTTTTTTCTTCCCCAAAATTTATGATTAAAAAAACACAGATGTTTTAGGTGGTTCTATGCCACCATTTCACTCTCAATTGCTCCTCTAACACACACACACACACACGGAGGGGCGGAGCTAAAAGCCTGAATACGGGTTAGCTTTTTTTCAAAAGTGTATTTGTGTTAAAAATTTCATTAAACATGCACAAGTAGTAAATTTAGAACCCCATTATTAGTATTTGAAGTCATCCTTCTAAAATAACATCGAAATCCTAGCTCCGCCTCTGCACACACATACACGCGCGCGCGACTACAATTAAACAACACCAATACAGAGAAATCACGAAACCCATGTACCAACATAACTAAACATCAACTTCATGATAGAACTCTTGAATTTTTGTTAATCTATAAACCATAAAATCAAATCTTCTTTTTTCAATTAAAAAACTCAAATGCTTTAGGGTGGTGGGAGAAGAGACGGTAGAAGGGTACAGGTGTAATGTATTCTTTGCCGGTGATAGTATGGAGGAGGTCAAAGTCAATGATTTGAAGCTGATGAAGTTTCTGCACTAATTCCACAACGTTTCGTTCTGATAATCGTACGGTGGATTTTGCTTGTTGTGCGAATTCGAACTGTCTTTGTAATTCTAGTAATTCTTCATCCATCTTTGTGTGGAATTGTGGTGGAAGAATACGGTGGTTTCAGTTGGATTTTGGAAGCTCCGATCAGAGTGACGATCCCAGGAGAGACGATGTTTGGAGCTGGGAAATAGTGGCAAAGTAAGTACTTTTGTTTCAAGTATTGGGCCGTATAAAATTCAGGCCCAAAATTAATGGACCTTTTCAAAATCACCTTTATATTTTGACCCCATTATTTTTATTTTTATTTTTTGGAAAAAAATAGCCCCGCGTCAGGGTTTTAACGCTCATCAGAATTTTGAAGCACCAATAATCTTGACGATCGCTATAATTTCAGCCATAATGCAAAAAATTCTGATGATTCAATTTGTAGCAAATCCCGGTGATACCAAAAATCCTGACGATCATCACCAGAATTTTTTAATCAAAAATCTTGACAATTAACTTAAGAACCTAGCAATCACTACTTCCAAAATCTAAGGCAGAAGCTTTTTCCAAAAACTTTTCTTAACGAGGTCAAAATTTAAATGGCGGCACCAAATTAAAGATTGTAAATCACTCAAACAACTTAGTTCTTTTTTGTGTTTTAATCACAATGGATTAAATGAGAGAGCCTCAATTTCAATGTATTGGAATTTTTACACGGTATAACATCTCCTCAAAATAATAGTCGTGAAATGTATATCTTTTGTATATTAATATATATTACATATAATATAATTGTACATCATTCGTGTATATTTGGCTAGCAACTGTAATTATTTTTTACCAACTGATCAGATATAATAAAAGCCCATTATTCTTTATTTCCCGTCCGCTTTATTTAGGTCATACTAGTCTAAGAGTATGCGCGTTGCGCGTGTACTTTTATTTAATATATATAAACTTTTTTAAAATCACATAATGATTACTAAAGAATGTTTTGAGTAATAAAAAAATTAATAGAAAAAAATCAAGTCCCTGAACATGATAATATTATTTAACTAACTCAACAAAGAAAAAAATTTACCTTAAAAAGTTCCCAAATTCTTTATTATATTATTCAGATATTACTGAATTTTACTAAAATGGCATGAATGCCGCCTTTTTATTAATTTATTTGAAATTGTCAGCAATTTTTTTGTTAAAACATTGTATCAACAAATGTTAGAAATATAAAATCACCAAAATCTTTTTCAATTCCTCTTCAAGGTATCGTAACACATCTAGACTCTAGTGAAGATCATATTTATTTAAAGCTATTACCAATTTTTCTATTAAAAATATGAAATCATCAAATGTTATAAATCTGAAACAATATTGCACACACATATCTATATATTAGATTTAAAATTAATGTGTAAATAATGTTAAAAAGTGACGCTAAACAACTCATCCGAACATTAATTGTTCAAACAATTGGAAAGGAAACTTTTTATGTGATTATTAAATATTGATCAAGAAAACAACCCAAGACTGTAGATAAGATCATGCAATTAAGAGCAAAAAAAATCAAAAATATTTTATATGATTGTTGATAATAAAAAGATACATTAATTTCTCAATAAATTTTTTGTATTTTGTTTCCACAATCTAGGAGGAGAGGGGGAGAATGACCATGTGAAAGAATTTTTTATCAATAATCCTAAGTTAGGGTAGAAATTAGTGTCTTAAACCAATGCACATTGGTTTGGAGGTTCACCGAAGTACGATTTCCGGAGTACTTAGCGCCTAGAATGTACTCCATGCGGTCCACTTTAAGTGATTATTCGGTTGTTTTCATACATATTAAGGAATTGATCTTTTTGTTCATACACTGTAATTGACCATATTAACCTTAATTTGTTCAATAGAAATACAACAAATACTCCTAGGCTCTTTACTCCAAGGGCAATTTTGGAAAAAAGAAATTAAGTCTTTCTTGATATTTGAAAAAATCAAATATTGTGGACCAAAAAGAAAGGCCAAAAAATCACTTAAAGTGAACCGGAAGGAGTATAAAAGAACCAAAATCCTAGGGATGGAAAAACTATTTTTGAAGACAACACCAAAACACATTCCCTAACAAAACGTGTCAATTGTTAAGTATATATGAAATTTTTTAAGAAGCAATTGACCGAAAAAGGTAAATAATACATTCCTAAAAAGAACTCATAGAATCCTAGAGTTATTTACATTAGAATTATATTATTAGTCATCTTACTTTTTTATTTACGTACGTCTGAAACATTGGGAATATTTTTTAACCTATTTTTATTTACCTAGGATTATAGAAATGTTTCTTTTTTAACTCCTTATACAATTTAATAATTGTCTCTACATTTCATAATGAATATATCTTCTCTTATATAAAAGTTGATTTTAAAGTACTAAATATTACATCAAATAATATGAATAGGATTATAGTTATGTTACATAATTAAAATATGAAAATAATTTGTATAACATCAAATCTTAATGGATTTTAAAGTTCTATATATTTGAACTTCCTACATAGTTCAAAAAAATAAATATTTAATAACAAAAATTTAGTTGATTTAGAAGTTCTAAATATTAAAAAAATAATTAAATTATAAGTTTGTCCCATATAAAATCTCTATCGGCAAGGTAAAATATTCTAGAAAAATAAAAATGAAAAAGTTCAGATTTGACTTCAAATTCTTTAAATTATATTTTTAAATTATTATAATATACTCTTATACGTAGTTCTTTTTTGGGTAACGTACTTATAGTGCTAACCTATGTTTGCTTTATATCCATTCCGTAATTAAGAATCCAATTATCACGTGAAATTTGTCTTTCAAATTTGATTGGAAGAAGTATCAAAATTGTAATTTGGAACTGAATTGAATTGGGATTTAGTTGTTCTTCTTCTAGTTGACATCAAATAAATTTCTAAATATATTTAATTGGTTTTAGTCCTAAATATTAGGATTTCCTAGAATTTTCAAATAGGAAAATATTTAATAACCAAAAATTTAGTTAATTTTAAAGTCATGTATATTAGGAAAGTAATCAAATGATTATTGTTAAATAGTAGGAAAATAATCAAGTCAAATTTCTAAATATTATAAAAATAATTAAATAACTATTATATCCGGTGTGAACTTTATTTTTAAGGGAAAAAAAGGCAAACGATATTTCGCTAAGGGTTTTCGTGTTTTTAATATAACTAGTTCCTATGTTCATGCTTTACATGAATATCTTGAGCATTGTCGTTTGTCAAACATTTAAAAACGCGTTTAAGCAAAAATAGATTTTGTTCATTAGTGTTTTTTGTTCCTTATATTCTTCGTACATATATAAAAGCCATACGATTAGTGTTCGATTCCTCTTTTCTTTTGTTTTTTATTTTTAAAATAATCTATGTGGATGCATTATTTTGATCAGGTTTTAGCAATTCGTGTATTTGTAAATTATATTTTTTAATCTTCTATTAGGTAGTTGTGATTTTCTTTTTCATAAATGATTAATCATATAAATCACAGTCCCTTCAAAGACATCTGATAAAATTAATATCAATCATAAGTAATAGATTTTGCTCTGGCTATTAACACTTTCTAGTACTTTTTATTATTACAGAGACTTCTACGATTGAATTTCTCCAATGAAATAGACTATTAATAGTAAGTATGAAAAACCTCTACTCAAACTTAAAAAGTTACGGAATGTTATGATACTTTTTCAATCGGAATAGGATATCAAATTGGCCTCCAGACTAAGATTAAAAACTTTTATATTTTAAACATTTAGGCCGAGATTTCGAAAAGTGTTATCACTGTATTACAAATCAAATTCTGAAGTGCATTAAATCGTATTTAGCACATTTAAAATAACATGAAAATACAGTGCTAAAATTTTTTGAAGTTAAAAAAAGATTAATTTTCTAATCCATGCGATATAATTTATCACAATCTCATTAAGAACTCAAAACCAAACTCTAATTTTTCTCATACTTTCATCGACATATGAAGACGTCAATGGTGCTAAACATCAAGAGCAAAAGTTTGATCATATTTAACTTGATGGGATAGTGATTCTCTGGTTGTGGACGTATATTTTGCTACAACTTAACAACTTTGTAAGTACCCTTTTTTCGTAGGAAGAGTGTGTATCAGAATAAAACTCACGTAATAAATAAATTACGTAACCACCTTTATAAGGAGTATTAATAGTCTAATAGGTGGTTCAAAGTATTCCCGTTCATGCAAAATTAGTATATCTTTGTAATATCAAGTAATAATGGAAAGGCTAGAACGTCATTGGTACTAAAAAATACGATTATTAAGTTTTAAAATTTGATACATATATACTGAATCATAATCAATACGATAAATAATAATATTTTTAAAAATTAATTCTAGTTACATTTTATTCCAACATGGAATAAGTTTACAAAGTGCAACAAAGTCTCAACATTTCACGTTTTGATTTTTATAATTTTATAATTAAATATAGACTAACTTCTTTAAAGAATCCTTTTCTTGAAGAAGTAAATTACCTTACATATAATGGTGAAAGATGTGATTGAACGTGTTCTTATTCATATAGAATTGGTATGGTTGTAACTTCCGAATAGGTGGACATTAACATATGAGAAGTTTAATTTAATTAAGATTAGAAACCCATGTAATTTCTAATTGAGTAAAGTTTTAAATGTTACGATTTTATCCAACATGAAATTACTTTTTAAAGAAATACTTTAGTTTTTTAAGGGCATAAAAGTCGATCAATATTTTAGGGATATTTTATTCATCCAACATTTAGCATGGAACATTCGTGCTTATATAATAATATAGATATAGATAGATAGATAGATATAGATATAGATACTGATTATTGGGAGTTCCTTCTGGACCTCCGATAAAAAAATAAAAAATAAAGAAGATTTGTTATAGTTAAATTAGCTTCACGTTGAATATCAACCTACTACAAACTAATTATTCGTCCGAATTTAAACCGGCCATGCTCTACAAACCTTACATTGGTGATATTCCTCATTTCAGCATATTTAACGGGAATAAATTTGACCATTTTCCGTTGTTAATATAGAAATTAGTATGTTATTTGTTTCTGGAATTTGTTCTTTAGCATTAAGTTCTTTTTCCTTTAAGAAGGTGTGGTAGTTAGCATTAAATACTTTTTAGGATGTT